GCTGCAGAAGAGACGTCCAGTTCCAGGGTCAGGACAGGAGGCGTGCGGGAAGGGGCAGCCTGTCAGACACCAGGGTGGGTCCATAGCAGCTCTGCCGGCCGAGTCCAAGCCGTGGCCGGGCAGTCCAGGTCAGGCGAGGAGCGTGTCACCTTTGTTTATGCAGATGTCAGCCGGGGCCGTCGGTCCAGCCGCTTGTGCTGAGCCCACTGTGGGAAGGGGGGACTGCCACAGCTCCCCCCCCAAGCGGGCATTCACCTACCTGGCACAGAAGAGGAGTGTCTCGTCTCCTTGGCGGTCAGCGTTGGCGTAACTTGGAACAACTCTAAGCCTCGCGGGCGCAGCTTGAATTTCGAAGCTGGAGATTAAAGACCAGTCGCTTAGCCTGGGCAGGAACCAGGGGTGAAGTTAGCCGGTCGCCCTGCGCGGTGACGGACGGCCTGATCCTTGGTCGGGGATGGTGGGGGCGGGGCTCAGGGAAGGAGCCTGCTGGCTCTGGGCCCTTGCCCAACTCAGGAGAGCTGGCAGCAAATCCGGGCACCATCCCCAGAGCGCTGTGCCCGCCGAGGATGACAGATGGGGACCGAGTAGCAGCTTGCCGTGGGGCAGGGGGTGTGCCACCGCCACGTGGCCGCCGGTGTCCCTGGCCTCCACGCACACTCCTCACCGGGCGGGGGTGGGCCCGGGCAGACGGGGAGAAGTAGCCGTTGGCAGCAGGGCAGTGAGAGCCTCAGGGTTTGAGTAGCAGGCACAGTTGATGAATGTGCTAAACTAGGTCTTCTTTGTGCTAGCCGGGAGCGGGAGCCGTGGGTAGAGAGAGCCTTGGGTGGGTGTGGCCGCCGCCTGCTTTCGGAGGCCCAGCACAGTGTCAAGTCAGGATGCCAGAGCACCCCGTCCTCGGGTGGGTGGCCGACGAGGACCAAGGTGTCCTCCCAGTGCTGCCCACCCACCCTCAGTGCAGCCCTGGGTCCTTTGTCCAAGTTGGGAGCAGGGCTGGCAGGGGGAGGATCTCAAAGCCCCACGCGCTCTCGAGGAAGAGGCCCCTCTGGCCCCCGAGCGGTATAGACCACCTGAGGCAGGGGCACCCCAGCCGGGCTTTGACGCCTGCGGACCGGCTCCTGCGGAGAAGGTCTCGGTCAAGGCCTCAGCCTTGGCCGGCCCCTCTGGACTCGTCTGACCTTGGGCGCCTCCGCCACTGGAGACTGACGGAAGCGGAGCTGTTGGGTGACGCAGGGTGTTGGCGTTAATAAAAGCCGTCACTGAGCAGGTGGCGGCGGGGGGCGAGGCCAGGGGTCTGGGGGCAGAGCTGTCTTGGGTGGCAGGGGAGGTGGCAGGAGCTGGGTGAGCCCCTGAAGCCTGGTGAGCAGACCACACCCGAGGCCCTGGGCCTTTTCGAGCGTGTGTGAGCCCCGCAGTGGGGGCTCCCGGTCACTGACTGTCCCACCTGGGCGCTGCCTGTCCCCGAGGGCAGGCTCCAGGTGGGGTTGGGGTGGGGGAGGGCTGGGAGCCCCCCTTGGGGAGTCCTCACCTCTCTTGGCCCCTAGCCACCCTGCGTTCTCATCCTTTCTCCCCTCCACAGCTTCTGCACCTGGGTGAGCCCCCTGGCGGGAGGTGGCCATCTGGGGGCCCGTCTCTGGCTTGAGGACTGAGGTGGGGACACCCTGAGGTCTTTTTTGGGGAAGGTGGGCTTTATTAGCCTCAGATGTTACTCAGCTGCACCTGGGTGGAGGCCCCTGGGGTCTCCCTGGCCACAGGACCGGGGCCAGCGACCCCTGCCTACATGGGCAGTGCCTCCACGTGTGCCTCAGTTTCCCTGTCACACCACGTTGGTCTGTCATCTCGGAGCGAGGCAAGAGGCCAGATGCAGTCCTGGAAGAGAGGCTGTCAGTCCCGTCCCATCATTGGGGGCCAGCACAGTGGCTGCTGGGGCACACACCTATCCCCACCCAGCCCTGTCCCCAGCTCTGAGCAGCACCCAGGCCTGTCCCCTCGCCGTGGCTTGCCGGTGGGGTGTGCCTGGTTAGACGCATTAATGGAGGTGCTGGTGAGGCTCGGGGGCAGATCTTTCTAGAAAGCAGCAGGGCCCTTGCAGTGAGCCAGGCCGTGTCCCGTGGAGTCCCAAGTGGGCTGGCAGAGGTGACAGCGAAGCCCCTGCTCCCGGCCGTGTTAGGTGACATCATCTTCTGGGCACTATTTTCCTTGTCTCTGAAGTGGGCTTGCTGCCTTCGTGGCCTCCAGGTGTATGGCAGGGACTCCTCATCCCTGCCCGGTCCCCAGGCCGGTGCAGGGCATGGGATCCCGCCAGCCCTGAGACCCCCGCCCTGGGCTTCCAGCCTCCAGAGCCCCGTGGGGCCATTGCTGTCTGAAGCCCCCACCTGTGGTGCTCTGTTACAGCTGCCTCCCCACCCCAGCCAGGGTGTCCCCACCCCCCTCAGCTGCGAGCAGGGGTGCAGGTGCCCAGAGAGGCCCCCAGCACCTGCTTGTCACCTTCCTGCTGCACCTCAGGCCCCCCAGAGGGAGAGAAATGGCCCATGAGCAGGAGGAGGTCCGAACGGTATGGGAGGCTGCCTCTTCGGGATGAGTTGCGGTTGGCTGCCCGCTGAGTCAGGCTCGTCTATTGAGGAGTGGCCCCGGGGAGGGCGCACACTGAGGCGTGAAATTGGTCCTTCCGAGCGAGCCCTCGTCAGCGCAGGGGCGGTGCTGCTGTCTCTCTGTGCCCCGGTTAGAAGTCGTTTCCCACGGCTGGCTCCTGCAGGCACCGGGCATCCTAAGAGGAGGCAAGCGCCTTAGGACCCTGTGACGGGGTCTGCAGCTGCACTTGGCTCTGGTGGGCAGGGGTGGGGGCCACAGACGGATGAGACCTGGGCCCTGTTGTGATACAGAGGCTCAGCCCCACTGACGCCAGGAGGGCAGCTTCCAAGCCGGGGGACCATCCGCTGGGGTTGTGGCGTGAAGGCCAAGGGGGTGTGAGCACGAGGGGATGGCCCCGGGCTGCTGGCCGTGGCCGGGCGGGCCGGCAGTGGTCATCAGCCCAAGGCCCCTGGAGCCCCTCTGTGGGTACCTGGCCCTGTGGCTACCCAGAGCTCCCCGTGGCTGTAACCCCAGAGGCTATGGGGGTACGGTGGCCGCTGCTCCTGCCTGCCCAGGACTTGTGCTCGGCTGACCCCGTGTTTGCTGTGTGGCCCTTGTTGGTTACCTAGCCCCACTGTTCTGTGTCCTGGGTGGGTGAGGAAGCTTGCAAAGAGGAATAGGTATGGGTCAGTCTGCCCTGGGTGCCGACCCTGGGTCTGGAGAGGCCACAGCCTCCTCCGCCAGCCTTCCCATGGAGTTCGAGGCTCAAGACTGGGCGCTGGTGTGCAGGGCGGTGGGGGTGGCCTCGGCCCCATGGGGCCAGGTGGGCGTCAGAGGCCTCCAGTGAGGCCCAGGTGAGACTGGGCCCGGAGCTGCCCGTCTCCGCAGGGTGCCTCGTGCTCTCAGAAGGGGGTGCTGGTGTGGCCTGGGAGTGTCCAGTGAGCAGCCGTCCTGTGCCAGGCAACTTCTGAGCCACAGCCACACACAGCCCAGCCCGACACAGAGGGGAAACCCTCTTCCAGATGCCCAGGAGCAGCCACAGCCTGCCGGGAAGGTGTGGAGGGTGAGGGTCTCTTGGGCCACGCACGTGTGGCAATGATGAGCCAGCCTGTATTAGCGCCTCATTAAAATGCTCGGGAACTTGTCCCTGGCTGCTGGGGGGAAGGAAGCTGGCCGCTGTCTCCGAGGATGGCTCCGGGTACTGCCTTGGCTGATATCTGGGACTTGGCCAAGCCCACTGGGCCCCGGGTTCCTGCAAGTGCTGACCACGCCCTCGGGGTGCTTTCGGCAGGTGCTGGAGTGGGAGGCCCCGGAGGCCGCCGCCTCTCCCTGGGAAGTCTGGTCGTCTTGAGGAGGGGCTGGGCGGTGTGGCTGCCACCTTCAGTGCCTGTCTGGGGACCCTCCCACCTGTGGCTCAGTGGCTCAACTTCCTGTAAGTTAGTGAGAGGGGAGAGGCCGCGTCTGGCTCAGCTGCCCTGTTCCAGCCGAGGAGCAGCTGGTGGGCGTGGCCTGTCGGTGGTGCTGGGGCATGAGGCTTTGTGGCCACCTGCCGGGTATAGAGGCTGGCACAGGCATGGGGGCACCCCTCCCTTCCCTGGAAGCCTCACACACCAGAACCCCGGGCCTGCGTCCCCAACAGAGAAACCCCAGGACGCCCATTTAATTGTGTTTGCGTTTCAGGTAAAGAAGGTTTTGGGCCGGGGGTGTCCCTGCAGTGTTTGGGGCATACAGTTGTGCCCCAGCTGCAGGGGTGCAGTGCAAGGCCCCTGGGATTCCTGAGTCGCAGCTCCAGGGAAACCTGTCCTGTACGTGCTGTTTTCTCTTTTCTTTGCTTTTTTGGAGACAAGGCCTCACTCTGTGGCCCAGGCTGCCTGCGGTGAGGCAGTCGTGGGGCCCTGCAGCCTCCATCTCCCATGTTCAAGCGATTCTTCTGCCTCAGCCTCCCCAAGTGCTAGAATTACCGGTGTGAGCCATCACCCCGGCTTCATACTCTGTTCTTTTAGTCTGATAACTGAGACAGTCGGGTGGGCAGTGGCTGGGCACGGGCGGTGCTGGGCACGGCTGCAGCAGCATTCACTGCTGTAGAGAGTGGCACACGGTTGAGACCTGGGAGGGACCTGGCGTCAGACCCTTTGAACCCCCCGTCTGTGAGGCCCCGGCCCTCAGGCCCACAGAGGGGCTCTCAGGGTCCCAGTGGTGGAACTGGGGTCTGGTGCTGCTGCCTTCGCTGGCTGGGCTTGGGACACACTGCTCCAGGTGGGGCGGCTGTCCATGGCCCTGGGGTCTGGAGGAGGGATGGGTGAGCCTGTGCCCCGTTTGGGGTTTTGGGGGTGGGTTGAGTCACCCCTTTTGCTGCCCTGGCTTGGCAAATGTGTGTTTTCTCCTGGGGCACAGCAGACGGGGCTCCTCAGTCCAGCATGGGCTGACCTCAGGGTGGTTTGGCTCCGTGAAGTTCTGGGGCATGAAGGACGCCCGTGCGAGGCGGGAACAGCGGCGCTACCTGCGGGGTGAGGAGGGGCCGTGAAGGGGCAGGTGGAGCAGAGAAGGTGTCGGGGTGTCTGCGGCCCGGGAGCAGGTGGGGTGTGGCGGGCACCGGGCTGACCACTGTGGTGCAATTGCAGGGGAGACGTGGGGAGGACTGGAGGGCACACGAGGCACAGGCCCCACTGGGGGAAAGTTGTAGAAGCCAGAGGCGGCATCTCGGGAGTGGCCAGGGCGGGCCTGGGGGCAGAGACTCCGAAGCGGCAGACGCAGACCACGGTGGGCGTGTTTGGCAGCTGGGCCTGCTGCCCTCCCGGGTCACACTCTTTTGCGACGCTCCAGAACTTTTATTTTCTAACCTTCCATGGAAATCTGGGTCACTCAAATAAGGAGGATGAGGACAATGGTCTCAGGGAGCCGTGTGGCCTGAGCCCCGGTCCAGGAGCTCCAGGTGGGGAGAGAGGCACCTGGCCCCGGCACATCCCGGCGTGGGGCAGCTCGAGCCTTCCCGGAGCCAGCCTGCCTTCCCTTCTCCTCTCCAGGGGCAGCTGTGTCGCCCGGAGGCCATTGCCAGGTGGCTCCACCCTGGGGACACCCCTCCTGAGCGCGCGGCGGCCGCCTCCCCGTCCACACCCGGCTCGTCGTTCGGGTGGCTCCCGGCTCTCCTGAGGTGTGCTGGCCTCCCCTCCAGACCCACCCACCATCCCAGGGTTTCCTTTCTCCCTGGGAGGTTTGGGGCTCGGAGATGGTTCCCCTGCTCTCCTTGAGAGGGTCCAGTGGCCCCTGCCTGGGAGATTGGCAGCGTCTGGGGCCCCGCTGGCTGCGTGGGACGAGAGTGGCGGGCATGCCGGCCCGTGCGTCCTGTGACTGAGGCGTTCCTTCCGCGCTGCGGCCCCCTCTTGGTCCTCCTGCTGCTGGCGCTGTAGGGTCGTGTTCCCATTTGTGGGTTGGAACTGGGCGACTCTGGGAGCTGAGGCTGAGATTTCTTGTTTGTGTTTGAGTCTCCCTCAGACTCAGAGGATGATGAGGCCTGGGGAAGAGGCAGGCAGGCCCGAGAGGACGGTGGGCGTCCCGGCGAGGGTGCGTCTTGCCCGCAGGGACAGCTGGGGTGTCCACGAGGGAATCCTTCCTGTCCTAGAGCAGGGTCTCCCCTGGCTGCTCCGTCCCTCTGTGTCTAGAGCAGAAGGCAGCCTTGTGGCTGAGACTCCGCCCCCGTCCACAGTGCCCCAAATCCCAGCCCCTGCCTGGGGCCCTGAGCCCCTGTGTCTGTCTCAGCCCCGACCTGGCCAAGGAGGAGGATGAGGCTGGAGGGGCCTCTGGCTGGCAGCACCAACTCGTATCTGTTCCTAGTCTTTTCCCAGTTTGACGGAAAGGTAATTCGTCGACCCCCTGACCCACTGATGACGCATCCACTTCGGTCGTTCCTCTGGATCCTCGGGTTGTGTGGCCCCAGCAGGTGTGGGTCCCAGAAGGTTTCCCTCGCCCTGAGAGGAAAGCCCGCCCTTAGCTGTCCCAGACCTGTCCCGCTGCCCTGCTTTCGGTCTCCCAGGTTGGCCTGTTCTGGACGTTTCCTGCACGTGGAGTCCCGTGAGGCGTGCGCTCCTGCGGCGGCTTCTCTCCAGCTCCATCCTCGCCGCTGCTGTGACGCCCTGACCCCTCCGTGCTGGACGCACCCCTGTGCGGACCTCGCAGTGTTGATGTGTTCGTCGCTGGTGGACTTCCGGGCCATTTTGCCCTTTGCTGCTGTTCACGGTGCTGCCGGAACGTCCCCGCACCAGGTTCTGTGGACATCCCGGCTCCGTGTCTCTTGGGTGTGTGGATCTGGGAGTGGCGTTGCTGGGTCAGGCGGGAACGCTGTCTGGTCCCTGGAGGAACGGCCAGGCCGGTATCCAAAGTGCTGCCCACCTGTAACCTGCCTCTCACCCCCGGCTTTTGGGTCCCTGAGCAGTGTTTCTGCAGGAGTGAGGGCTGGCAGCCACGCCCAGCCTGAGTCCAGGGCTGTGGGCGGAGGACACGGCCCTTCCTCCCATCGCCCACCCTTGGGGCATCTTGTGTCGGGAATGGCAGTGCCTGACCTACTCAGTGAGCTTGAAACGGGGTCTCTGCAGGGGCCTGTGGGGCTTGGGCCTCCTGTCAGCAGCCTATCCTGGCAGGTGGGGACCTGCCGGCCGCCCACGGGTGTCGGGAGCCTTGGAGTCCTGACGCACGGGTGTGGGGGCGGTATCGGTGTGGAGCTCGGAGCAGGCGGGGTGGCGCCCGGGCCACGGGTGGGAGAAGCTGGCGCTGTTTGCGAGGCATCCATCCCTCCATCCGTCCTCTGGAGAATTTCAACACCCACACTTGGAATAAAAAAAAATTATTAATGAGCTTGGTGCGGTTGCCATGGGAACCTGTTGCTAATGAATCTCTGGGGTTTCCTGTTACCTTTGCCGAGGAAGGCCGGAGCCACGCTCCTTGCTGCAGCAGTGCTCGTGGTGGGGTTGCCGTGGCAACGCCTGTTGCTAACCCCCAGCTGTTCCCGGTTGACCGGCCCGGCCCACATGACAGAAAGCAGTTTGGCCCCTGCAGGCCTGCCCCCGGCCAGAGACCCCAAGACCCCTCCCCTGTTTCTGAACGGAGCCCACCCCTGCTTCAGGGACACAGCTAGACACGGGAGACAGAGGGGACTTCTGGGGTTGCCATCCACGGGGCCAGGCTGCAGGTGCCCAGTAAATACTTGCCAGGCCAGTGCACGGAGCACGTGGGGCCTTGGGGCCCAGGCTTGTTCCCCAGGGCTGCCTGGAGGTGGCGGTTGTCCCCAAGGCTTGGCGTGTGCACCTCTGTCTGCCCCAGGCCTTCAAGTTGGGGGATTTGTAAGGAGCCGCTGTGCCTGGGCCAGGGACGGTTTTTGTGGCACCTGTTCCCTGAGAGACAGACCAGAATTCCCCTGGGGCGTGGGGTTGGGAGACCAGGGTGGCCTCCAGTGCCCCGACCCCCTCCAGTTGGGGAAGTTCCTGTAGGACCCCCCACAATAGTCTCTGCTCACCTCACCCCAAGAGGGGTCCCACCACGTGTAGTCCGTGTGCATGCTGGCCATCCAGTGACCTCCCGCTCCCCCTCCTCCCAGGGCCCCTCTGAGGCCTGCAGTCTCCGAAGCAGGAAGGTCTGAAGCTGGTGGAGTCCATGCATTCTGGCCTTCCAGCTGGGAGTGTGGCCGGAGGATGGGGCCAATGACACGTGAGGCCGCTGGGCAGGTGGGGAGGCTGCTGGACTTGGGACCGTGGCTCCTTGGTGGCTCAAGCCACTCTGGGGGACCCCACCTGCCCTTCCGGTACCCAGGTCACCCCATAGCTGGGGAGATGCACCCTGCAAGCAGGGAGGGCTCCCTGGAGGTGGTGACAGGTGGGGTCGGGGTGGGGATGGTGATGACCCCAGGAAGACCCAGTGTGTCTGGCAGTGCCCCCCCAAGCCCCTCATGCATTTTGCCCAGCTCATTGCTCTCCAGACCCTTTCCAGAGTCCTAGGGCACTGTGCCCCACCTGGGGTGCCTTGTTGTAGGGGGATTGTGACATCCCCTCCAGCCTTCTTTGTCTCCCCTGGAGCCTGAGGCCTGAGGAGGGGTGAGGCTGAGGAGGAGTGAAGGCCGAGGAGGGGCGAGGCCGAGGAGGGGCGAGGCCGGAGGAGGGGCGAGGCCGGAGGAGGGGTGAGGCCGTCTGCATTGGATCCTTCTGTCTTCCTCAGCCCCCTCCCCGCTTTGGGGGCCTCAGGGGGTGTCCCGCTCTGAAACACCCTGGCCTATGGCCTCTAGGAGGTGGGCTGGGGCTGTCCCTGCCTGTCTAGGGTGAGTCTGTCCACAGTGGAGTCTTGGGGTGACGCCGAGGCGTGCTCTGACCACCGTCCGAGTGGGTCAGCGGGCGTGCTACGTAAGCACGCAGTCTTGGCGGTAGGCGATGAGGGGAAGGTTCTGGACCGTTCCGGATAACAGCACACTGGGTGCCCATCCGAGAGTTTGCCTGGCAGTGGCCAGTCCTGCGGTGGTGTGGGCACAGGGGTCAGGCTTGCTGGGGGGGTCTCAGCCCTGGACACAGACGTGGGCAGGCACTGGCCCGAGGCTTCCTTGGCAGCTGTGTTGGCTGTGGGGTAGCAGCATGGCCAGCGGGCAGGTCCTCCTGCCCCAAGCAGCCCTTGGTGAAGGGGTGGGCATCAGATGATGCCTGAGCTGGCCGGAGACCCAGACCTGCTTGCTCTCCCACTGTCTGACATGGGTATCATGGGCAGGGCCGGTGGGGTGGGCCCCAAGAGGGTCAGGGGGCGTTCGCCTTGGTCCCCACCAGCATGGCCACGGACCCCCACGATGCTCCCAGCAGCGGCTTGGCGGGTGCAGTGTGCGTTCTGACTTCTCTGGAAGCCCCGTCGGCAGCGGCCCCGGGCCCCAGCCTCTCCCCGAGAGACCTCCAGAGCCGTGCGGGCCGTGGTCCCGCCTCCACCCCATCAGCCAGTTCCCGGGGTCCTTGTGCTTCCCCTCGGAGCTCTGGGAGGCCGCAGCTCACTCCTCGGGGCTGGCCACAGGCCTGTGGGGACAGCTGATGGCACTGTGCGTGTGGGGGGTGCAGGGCCGGCTAGGCCGTGCTTGTTCCCAGGGGCATTTGTCTGTCTGCCTCCCAGGCCTAGTCCCCAGCCCCAGGGAGAGGGGGACGTGTCCAGAGCCCAGGAGCGGCTCCCCCGTGAGGCCGTCCAGTGCTGCAGTCTTGTTGGGAAGCTCGGGGCTTTGGGGCTGGGCGGCCGGGGTGTTTTTCTGAGCATGTGAAATATGGCCTGCCTGCGGGTCGGGATCAAGGATGTTTTAATTCCTAATTTAGACTGTTTATGTTCAGGGCTCAAGTCCCGGTGGGGAGAGACAGTGTGGGCTGAGCACCCGCCACCCCGCCTCTCCAGGGAGGCCTCCGGCGTACAGAGAGCTCCCAGCCCGGGTGGGTGCGGGGTCTGCCCCTGGGCATGCCGGAGGAAGGGCCTGACCTCTGACCTCTGCACCCTGACCCCAGGCCGCCTGGGTGTGTCCAGACT